TAAATTAAATAATTAATATATTTTCTAGTTTACCTAGTCCTCTTACATTTGCGACTCCATTATCTTTGTGCTTGCTTTCATGATCAGCCACTTTTTTTCAAGCACAACAGCCACTTCTTCAGACCTTCCACCGTCCTTCATTTCACAATACAAAGGACACCTTGCATTGCATGCGTTGCGTTGCGGCTGCTAAGAAACAACACATTAATTTTATTACTCTCTTATATCACTCGCACCATTTTCTCCAAATATCATTATATTATGCACCATCATGTGCTACTAACTCAACGAGGAAACAACCTTAATCAGTGTAAAAGGATGTATTTACACTAGCGTCAAAAGATCTTTATGTCTCAAGTCAGCACCATAGACCACTATTGACAGCAACCTCAAATCCTAACTAAGACAGTAATAGAGTTGTCGGAGTGCCACCGTCCACAGACCTCAAAATTTTCTTTTTTTCTTCTTATTCTTCTGTGTCTCTGGTTCAGGCTTACCATTCAAATCTTCTTATCATTCCACAGGTGTGTTTTGAAAGTGGTATGATTAAAATCACAGCATGCAGATAATCCTTTGCATCACACCAGAAGAACCGCTAGGATGGTCCAAGAAGAAGGAAGTGTTGGTCCCACTAGATGAATTTTGCATTAGCTTCCACTTTTAGTTATATGAATTTTTTTACTGTTTTTTATTCATTTGTTTAAATATTAATAATTAAGTCAATATAAAATATTGTAATTATGTTTTAATATGATCTTAAATTCCTGTTTTGATTGTGTAACTAATTGTTTTATCAGGCAATGTGATAATTAGATAAATGTAATTTATACGAAAATAAAATTACGTAATCTATATCAAAATAAAATTGGACTTACTTAGATATATAACTCTCAATAAAATTCGCTTTTTTATGCTTTTAATAAAATAATATTTATCTTTTTTATGTTTTTTAATAAATGAATCATATATATATATATATATAATATTTTTATTTTATTTAGTATAATAACTAAAAAATTAATATAATCCTATAATTTTTTATAATCTTAATTTCTTTTAAAAAATTATCTGTAATATATTTTGTTACAAAATATTTTAAATTTTCTATAAAAAATAATTATCTTACAAGAAAAAAAATTTAATATTTAAGATCTTTATAATGGATAAAAGATTTTTTTATATGAAGAAAAATATCATGTTTGAAGAGATTGTTTAGATAATAAATGGCATTTCACTGTGATTTTTTTTGTCGTTCAAAGATTGAAAATTTGAAAATAATTTAAGGTGTTGCTACGTAATTCGAAAATTGTTAGAATGAACTAAGTATATATTAAGTATTATTTTGTTTATATACGAAAAAACATGATTAGGATAATTTTAATTCATTATAATTTTATTTAATATATATATATATATATTATTTTTTATTTTAAATCAAGTGAAATTTATGAATATATTAAAATAAATGAAGGTAGAGCATATTTAAAAATGTTTATATAATAATATATTATTAAAAATAACTTAGAATTGTAATTATAATTATAAGAAGTTTTAAAATAATTCAAAATAGTAATATATAATTGTTTGGGATAATTTTATAATTGGATTGCAATGTTAGGCCAAACATGCATTACTATTTTATAAGAACACCTTAAAATACATCCATTTTCATTACAGACACATTATCATTTGAATAACTGTCTTTCTTTCCTGAATGATCCTAAACCCTAAAATTTGTCTAGGTAATTGTGCAACCCAAGGTTTCCTCCTTTCACTTTAGCACCTAAACAACATCCCCACATAACCAAAATAATAGAAAGTACAATTCACTTTTCCCCTTAACATAGAATTAATTAAAGTTTTATAATTCACAAAAATTAACTTAGCCTTGAAACTTTCCATCTGGCATATTTATTCTTTATTTCCTTAGTTCTCTTTTCCCAATCCCATATCTAAATTCAAAGATGTTTTAATACTTCAATATTAGAGAGTCTAATTTTAGTGAGATGATTGTTTATATATATAAAAAAAATCATTTTAACCTTCTATTTATATATATATATATATATATATATATATATATATATATGTTTGAATAAAAAATCAAATTAAATGAAAATCATGTGATAAGAAGGAATAAATTTGAGAAATCTCATGCTTGAAAAAGAAGAAAAACAAATGTTTAATAGTACACTTTTTCAATTTTTTAATAAAGGTAAATTTGAAACCTGATTAGGTTACTACTCTTAGAACACTTCTTAATTTATATAGCTTTCATAAAAAAAATTAAAAAAATTCAATATGCTAATTTCATATTCAGAAAGAATAATTTTTAAGTTGTGAAATAATTTGTTTTAAAAACCATCATTATCTCTTCTGACATGGTAGTCCAAATTTGTTATTTCTAGAGTTTCTACACTGATTAAGCATAACCAATTTTTTCCATCTAATTTCTCTTTCTATAAATCTATTTTATTCAGAGTTTTTTAACTGTTGATTATGTTAACTATTTGATTTTTTTTTAAACGAGGTTATTGAGTGTTTAAAAACAAGACACGGTAGTATAGGCCCAACCATAGACCAGAACAAGCGGTTCACTACTTTGAAAAAATTACGGCCCAATATATATAAAACAAGAACGAGCTATTCACTATTTGAAAATATTACGGCCCAATATATAAAACAATTTACATATTTTTTTATAATGGTTGTTATCTATATTTTTCACTTTAAATTATATATTTCATATTATTTTTAACAAGTGTATTTTTTTTTTATGAAAGACACATTCTAATTTATTTTAAAGTGTCAAAATTAAAAAGGTTAATTTTTTTTTTACTTAAAAAACAATCTATATTGAGGAGTTTCAAATCATTGATGATAAACATATTTTAAAACTTTGACTAAAAGTACATTATTATTTTTTCTAGGTTTTATATTAGACAAGCTAAAATAATATTAAAAAACATAAACACCATGTTTCGAATTATTTAGTAATCATGAATTGCGTCGGAGAACAATCTACATGAACTGCGTCAGCGAGGCGATCTTCTTCGGAGTTGAGGGGTCATGGCCCCAAAAGTTTTATAACTCTAATGTAATTTATAATTTTGGCCCCCAAACTTAATGAACATTTAACGTATTTACTTGTATATTTACAATTTTATCCTCTCGGTCTCTCCTCAGCTTTGTAACTACTATGTGATTTATGATTTTGTCTCCTTCAAACTTAATAATCATTTAATATATTTAAGTATATATTTACAATTTTATCCTTTCACCCTTTCATCTTCTTATTTCATTTTATATTTATTTATTATTTATTAATAATATATTATTTGACCCTTCAAAAATCAATGGTAAACATCCGTCATGCGTGTATCAATACTATAAGTGTTTATTGTGATGATTGCTACCCAATTAGATTTTTATTTTATTTCATTTTATATTTAACTCAATCATAACATTCATCAATGACTCTCTAGTCTTTAATGTAAAAAATATACATAAAAATAATATTTTATATGAATTGTTAGTAAATTAAATTATATTATTATTTAATAAATATAACTGCTAAATAATTATTTTTTACATAAGAGAAATTATTTGGTAAAAGAAATTTATTTAAAAATGTTAATAAAATTTATATTAATAACAAATATTTATTATATATTTATTATATTTTTCTAATTATTAATTTTATATATAATTAAAATTATATTGTATACTTATTATTTTATAACTTAAGTAATGTGAAAAATTCTTTTTGAAATGTTTTCATCTTTTGGTAATTTTTATTAATATTACGAGAGGAAAAGAAAGATGTATCCCGTGTTTTATAAAATGAAGAACATCTAATGTTTTTGTTACATTCAATAATAATAATAATAATAAAAAACTTATATTTTCGTTATAACCAAATCAAATGTATTTTTTTTAGAAAAATTGGGGTGTTAGACATAAGAATGAACACAAGATCATTTTGAAACAAATTTACTTATATTTATTTTTGCCTTCATTAAGAATAAGAATAAACAAATATAAAATTAAAACTCTACCTCGTTTATCCTCTAAGTTGGAGAAAATCATCCCCCTTATTACTAAACAAAATATATATATATATATATATATATATATATATATATAGTAATAGCATAAAAATTAATATTTGTAAATATAAAATAGTATATATTTATTAGATTAGTGATGTTGTAATAATTGATGTTATAAATATACATAAATAATAAATTAACCACATTAAAATATGACAAAAATGAAGGTTTCTATAATTTTTACAGTGATAAATTTGGTTTTTAAACTTAGATGATAGATTTAGTTATTTTTTAAAATTTATCATATTTTTTAAGTTAAGAAAAATTAAATCTATGCTTGTTAATTAGAGTTGAAAGATGACCCTGAGAGCGTTTCACTGCAGGAACTGAAATACATACTTCTACACACTGTTAAGTTATAAATGCATTTTTTAATTAATTTATGGGACAAGTACAATGCATATAGAACACAATAACAGGCATGAGATTGAGGTGGAATGAGTTTATTTTTACAAATGGAAGAAGAGTTCAAACAGTGAAGAATATAAAGACAACGTGCAGAAACAAGATAAAATAATATGCATGTGATAGAGGGAAAAGGGAGAGGAACATGCATCTTCTGTTTCTGTCGATTAACAGCAGATATCATCAAAATGCAACCTCTTGTCATAAACACAAAGAAGAAAAACTCAGCAAAGTAATCCCATCATATATTAGAACTTTTTTTTTCTGTCCATCTCAGAGACCTTGAAAAGTTTTTCTCCATGTGATGATTATTGCCAAGAAACCAGTTCAATGACAGTGTCGTTGATGGTTTGAGTTGACTTATTTAGATTCTTATATTTACTTTTTAAAAGTAATGAAACTTGTTATGTTGAACTTACCAAAGTAAAGCAGTATCTTGGACTAAATCCAGGGAGCACCTGTTGTAAGAATCTCTACCATGCATTAATTTTCCCAGATAGGAAATTCGAGTTCATCATCAAAGATCTCATGACATCTATCATCTTCAGTGTTGACTTCATGTGCATTATGTTCCATTTGCTGTAAGCAATTGAACCACCAAACTGAAGTGACCAAACTCATACTGTCATCCCATTCCATTTGATGTTGCTCTCCCAAAGCTCGTATCTCTGCCATGCCTTCTTCATCCATTGCTACATGCATGTTTCCACTAGCCTGATTTGTAGTACTGGATTCAATGGTATTCATCACTGAGGAACTCCCTTCTCCCTGTGACTGTGATATTCCCATCGAAGGAACGTCTTGATCTGTCAAAAGTGGTGGGGAAGAAAATGTTGGAGGCGAGTAGTTGCTGTCGTTGTTCAGAAAAAAGGTAGGCTCTAAAATGTTGTTATTAAGCAAAAGGGTAGAATCTAAAATCTTGTCATTAAGCAAAAGGGTAGGTTCTAAACTGTTGAAAGTGTGTAGATTGAGGTTCAATCCCAATGAATGACTTGGAAGTATGAAATTGGGAGTTTCCGCCGTAGGAGGTGGATGAGCAAATGGGGAATTAATGGAGTTGGAGTAAGAGTTTGGAACTGCAGGAGGAAGAGGAGGGGGAGGAGGAGGAGGAGGAGGAAGAGGAAGAGGAGGAGGAAGGGATGGTAAGGAAAAATCATGCAAGAAATTTGCAATTTTGGTTGAGAATGGGGGAGACATCCTGGGCCTTCTCCTAGACCTGAATCTTTCATCTGGGCTAAACCTTGAAAGAAGGGAAGGCTGAAAGGCCAGTGATTGATGTTGGTGATAGTGTTGCAGTTGCTGCAGCTCACTGGCCTGTTTGGTTGCCCTGTGGTATTTCAAGGCAGTGACAATCTCCCTCCTTGCCTCTGCCATATTCAGAAACTTTTCTTGAGAAGGCCTATTGGTGGGATGCCTTCTTCTAATTTGTTTCTTGAGCTGTTGATGCTGCCCATTTTTTTTTAAATTCCGATTTGGGGAAACATGGCCATCACCATCAGCACAACTTGGGGCTTTGGTGTTCAGGGTGGCTTGTTTTGGGTTGGAGGTGTTTAGTTGTTCCACATGGTCGTCAGCAAAATATTGTTCAGAAGGAGGAGGAAGAGGAGGAAGATGGAGAGGGTCTTGGTGAATTTCCATTGAACCTTGTTTGTTTGGTTGCTTTAGAGGCTATCTAGCTCTTATTTCCATGGGGTTTTGTAGGAAGTTAGGTGTGAAAAGAATTGAGAAGGGGATGGATAGGATGGTGGAATCATGGTTTTCTCCAACAAGAGATACTAATATATAGGGGAAGATAGTGAAGCATAAGAAGTCCTGAATCTCCTTTGAAGCCTCATGGGTGTTATAAAGAGTTGGGGACAGCATAGGGCTTTTATGTTGTTTTGGACTTTTCCCTGATTTGGCAAACTACGCTTGTTACCCTTTTTATTACTACCCTCTTTAAATGGATCCATTCTGAGCAGTAGTCTCACTCAGTCACACACCGAGCCATCTCTTCAACGCTACAATACAAATCTTGCCTCTCTCTCTGCTGCTCAATGCCCTTCCCATTTCACAATTCCTTCTAGAAGAACAAAATATACAATTTGCATTTTCAAACAACAAACCGAATGGAATTTGTTCATACTTTTTATAATTATAACCATTCTTTTAATTTTGCTTACTTTTACAAATTTTCACAATCATATGATTTTAGTTAATGGAGGTTATCCATGGTCTTCTCACAACCATTTAGCAACTGGTTCAGGTGAAATTTTGAGGTTTCAAGTTTTAATTCAAATAGGAGAGAAAGAAAACTATTTCATTCGAGTTCTCTCATTCATAAACCGCTAAAAAATTCCTCATACAAGTACTGTTCAAATTAAAGTAAGGGAATGAAAAGAAAGTCTTAAATTCTTGAAGAAACAAACTTCTATATTTTTATCATCTTTTAACGTATTCAATTTGATAACATACAGGTAAAAACATTAAAATAATATCATTTTTTTTTAATTTATAAGATTTTCAAAAGATAAATTTACGTCATACGGGTTGTATTAAATTTTATTACTACTTTACTTTTAAGAATAAACATTGTAACTCTGAATTTATATTACTTTAGTCAAAATAATTTTTCTGTTTTTAAAAAATTCGTTAAAAATAGTTTTACAAATATTTACTCAAACATATTTAACATTTGGGATAGATATCACCATTGTCCAACATTTTTTTAAAGTCTATTAGACTAAAAAGATCTGTTTTTCTTCTATTTTTAAGTTAAAATCTATCCCAAGATAAATGTATATTTATGTATATCTGTGACTAAAATATATCACCGTACACACTATCAAAAATCAAATTCTTCTATATTAATTATAAGATAAGAATCATCTTTATTAAATTAATAAATTTTATACACCAAATTTTTTTTTTTATAATCATAAATATTTTTCAAATATATATCAAAGTCCATAATTAATGGACCGATTTTCTACCCATCCCTACTTAATATTCATTTGATATAAACATGACACGAAGAATGGGAGAGAAAGTAAAATAAAATAAATGAAATGTAAAACAAAAATTATAAAACATAAGAAGTATAAATATAAGTTTTACATTTTTATTTATTAATGTATAAATCTGTACAATGTTATATGAAATTCCATGTCTTATTATTAGTTTACGTGAAATTCTATAAAAAGAATCAAATAATTAATCATATAAATTTTTATTACTAATTATATAACTGTGCATGATGATTTGTATTTATTTTCTTAAATTAAATATTTCTAGTTTATTTCATTTTATTTTCTCTTTTCACTGTTTTCATCAATTTTATTTCTCATTTATTTGTTTTCTTCTAACTTAAATTTTTATATTTTCTTGATTGAAAAAAAATAAAAATATTTATTGAGAAATGAATACAAATTTTGACCATAGCTTGTACCTAAACAAATTATCCGTTGTGTTAAATTAAAATAATTTTTTCGTTTATACCTCGTATTCATCAGTTTGAGTACAATTCAATTTTGATTGATTTTTTTTTTTACTTTTTTATAATTTGATTAGTATGATTGATATTCAAATGATACCAAATAAGAATGGAGAATTTAAATCAATGATAGTTAAAATATTAATTAAAATTTCCTTATATATAATATTAATTAAGATATACATATTAATTAATTATTAAAAAATTAATCGTCCTAAACTTTTTAATAAGAAAATTTTAAAATTTAATATAATGACTATCAAAATTTATTCTTCTTAATTTTATATAAAAATTACATAAATTTCAAAATGAAAGTAGTAGTTTATTTTTATTTTGGATCTCAAATAAGAAATTAAGATTCAGTCAATACAATATATTAAACATTTTTTTTTAATTTCCAAAGCAACGATTAAAATACAAACTTTACAAAAATTAAAAATATAATTTGTTACGAGTTAGATACCTCCAAACCCAGTATGTTCAACATGCCACACACTACAATAATAAGTTATGAAATTTAAAAAAAAATATCATAATTTAAAAGTATAAAAAAATTAAAAACGTTGACATGAAAATTTGGTTAATGAACAGAGGAGAAGGAACCACCACATGTATTATTACCCCAAGTCTGTTGTCTATGTTTTATTAGTATAAATTAAAGAAAATGATTTTTATAATAGTGACTAAAAGATGATAAAACGAATATTTTTAATTATTTTAACAAATAACAATTATTTTTATATATATTCTTAAAGCACAAAACAATAACGATTTTATGAAAATTTTCAATTTAGTTAAAAGTCATTATTTGCATTTTAACATTTACCTTCAAACGATCGTCGTTAGGGTTTGCATTCCTATTTCTTTCGACTTTCCTGTTTGACCATAAAACTCAAAGAGGATGTAGATTAACATATGCAGAGATTTTATTTTTTAGTTTTTTTCATTTTATTAAAAAAATGTTAAAATTATATTAATTAATTTTTTTAAAAATAAAATAATTTATCTATTTTAAAATGTTCGTTATTTAATCTTTAAAATACAAAATAAATATATTATATATATATATTCTATATAAAGATCCACGAATGTATTAGAACAATTATTAAATAATAAATCATATTTAAAAAAAAGTTAAAATAAAAAATTACAAATTTATAAAGTAATGGAAGAAATCTCAAGAAAAAAATCAAAATTTACATTATCTTCCATAATTTTGTTTATCATAGTGTACATGGATGTAAGATGAAGAAGAACTCAGCACTCTCACCATTTATTTGCACTGCATTTTTCTGTCCATTGCAGTCTTTTCTTTGATTGCCCATAAACCAGTGCATTAGTTGAATGACAGTATTTATGGTGATATGGGTTGACTTATTTTACTTGTGGATGATTCACTCTACATTTGAAATTTGAATTCTTTAATTTTGTCATTAATTAAACAATATTAGATTAAAAAGGATGTGGATTTTTTTTTTATATTGTATAAGGTTTATTAAATGTGTATTTTGGGTATAAAGAAGGTAGTTCAAATAAATAAAGTTTTATAAAACAAATATTTTTGGGAAGATTTTAAATTATTTGATCTAATGTTTGTGCCAAGAACTGAAGTTGTCTTCACACTTCGAATTTAGTGACCGATCTCAACGTTCAACGACCAACGTCTTAAAACTTCTTACAGGGATAACTCAATTAGAAAATGATATGTGAAATCTCAATCGATTTAAAATATTAATAAAAGATCTTAATTAATTAGGTCTAGTTACAAGAGTTTTCTAATTGATTCAATTTAATTAGAAATGTTAGTTTTGATTTCAAATTTATTTAGCATGATTAGAAAAAGATTAATTCATAATCTCAAGTGATAAAATTGGTCCTAAGAATAATATATTACAACGTATAAACGACATTGTTCTACATACTATGTTGTAGATTTTACCTCAATTATTATTATAATAGCCAATATGTAGTATGACAATTTAGTTGTGACAGTGGAACCGAATGGGTACAATGAGAAAGAGATTAAGGTTGAGGGGAACGTCTTGTAAAGCACAAATGATGTTATTTATAGAGTAATATTTAGCTTCAGGCTATTATCTAATGTGTTGTTTCTTAATATTTTAGGAAAAAAAATGTGTGAAAAAACTTATGTTTTTAAATTATAAATAAATACATGAAATAATTTGACGGGAAGACAAATTCAAAGCTAAAATTAGAGAAAAAGAAAATGGAAAATTTTGTATATTAATATATCAAAAAGAGAAAACAGATGAAAGAGAAAGTGATTGAGTTGAGACCAATTATAGATAGGGTCAAGTTAATATTGACGAGAACTGTGTCGTTTACTGAGAACTAACCGAGTCGAGTAAACATTGATAAAAATCAAGGAATATTCTAAGAATCATTGCAAGTTGGAAATGTATGTTGAAAATGTCTAGCCTGGAAACAAAGATTATTAAAGCAAGTGGATGATAAGGCTCTAGTAAGAATATATGGCTACTAAAGTTAAGAAGTAATCGAGAGGACTGACTATATATAACAACCAGTTTCAATATGTTCATAAGATCACGGTGAAAGTAATTTGAATGGTTAATTGATGTTGCAATAATGTACATATGGTGAATTGAGAATGTTGTATTCTAAAATCGTTTTAAAGGTAAGTAAGTTATTGTTGCTTGCAAGTGGTGGATGTAAGAACTCACTAAGCTTCAAATGAGTTCTTTAAAATTGTGGTTTATTTCTTGGAGTGTAAGTGAGTTGTCCAGGTAAATATATAACGTAGTTGATAGTAAAATAAAGAGTATCAGAACAAGAAACTCAATTAGAGACATTGAACACTTTTAAGTGGGTGCTTCTATTTTTGTTAAAGAAAATTCCTTTCCTTGGTATAAGTTTGAGATAGACAAGGATAAGTTGGGTAGATAATAGACAATAATGAGAGTGTGAACATATTGGTTGAGGTGATGAAAGATGTAAGTAATATCTGATATAGTATTTTTTAAGTAGATAAGAAGGTTGATGAGACGTTGATAGGTAGTCGAATCAAGAAGGGGTTTGATATTGTCACCAGATATTTTCACATAACACTACTACAAATAAAGTTTTCAACGTCGGTTCTAGAAGGTTTTCAACGTCGATTTAATAACCGACGTTGTATCAGGCGACG